GTTGCTCAGGTGACAGTTCCTGTTCCAGTTCTGGTCACTTCGGTATCTTAGAAAGGGCAGGTCACTGTGATGATATTGTATAAACCAATCAAATACAGCCAAGTTCTTTGCCTTTGTACTCACCCTTGCAGATACCATGAACAACTCCCTCCCTGGGCCTTTGAGGCCTGACATTTTGAGGGACAACTAATTGCTAGCCAGTGCCCATCCAGCATTAAATAAATCTGCCTCCAAATCCTGGGCATTGTCTCAGTGTTTTCATTGCCTTTGCATCTGGTGCCTCAGCCAGGAAGACCCCACTGTGCTGTCCTTTTTGGTCATCAGTTGTGGCTCTTATGGATGGAACAAGGACCTCTCAAAGTCCTGATGGGAAGACATTCTTTTGAGATTTCTCAAGTTCTCTCAGAGGTCTAAAGGAGTATTCTTGGCTCCTTATTCGAGTGGCTCATATCAGACTCCAAAGGGAGGAGGATGAAGTCTGTCTATCTGTCTGCCAGCCTGCCTGATTCTGGTAAGACTCCTGGGAGCATCCAAGTTACTCTGTCAGTCCTGTTCAGCTTATCTGACATTAGTCAGGATCACCCTCAGGGGAAGGTTGGAATGTCTTAATCTCTGAGTGCATGTTGAATGAATTTGTAACTAAGTGGAAGGAACAGCAAAAGCAACATGTTGATCTGTCTGAACACCAAGACTGGGAAGCACTGGCCAAGGTGGTTGATTGAACCCTCACCTGTGGTTCCATGGCAATCAGCAGATGGCATAACAGAGGCCTCACATCCTCCTGAGCTAAATTATGCCTAAGTTCCCACAAGGTGCGTGGCCAGGCAGGCATCTGAATGGTCTCTCTCTGACGGGTACCTACCATTTGTCTGTAGCACCACTGTTCAAGGGGACACAAACATGTAAGAAATCAGAGAGGAGAACTAATTAATCAAAACCCACAGTCCCTGCCTGCAAGCAAATGGGCTTTTCTGAGATTATGGAGTTAAAAATGGAACCAAACAACTCCCTGCATCTCAAAGAAAGAAAAAAAAAGAAGCTCATTTTTCCTGAGAATTCCACATTGGCACCCTCGTCAGCCACCACAGTTGCTGCCAACACCTATAGCTTCACTCTCTACTCCTAATTGCATACTTTCAGCCAACTGAACCAGTTCCAGCTAATCACTGCCTGCATTCAGCCACAAAAGCCCTCCCTCCAGATCCTTCTGCTTCCTGTCCTGGTCAGGTGGCATCATCTAACATCCACCTGAGATGACTGTCAGCAATTCCTTCTGAGTTCCACATTTCGACTGAGGAAAAATTGACCCATCAGCCCTGATAAATACGTCACCATGGCCTTTCCCAAAGGTTGCTTCACATAGAAACAACCCAGTCTAGTGCTCCTCAAAGACATCTAAGAGTGAGGGCAAAAAGCCTAATGTCAAAAGTTACTACTATTGTCCAGAAACCTGATATAAATTATATGGGCACTAAAAAATAAATGCCCAGTTTAAGAGATAGGAACTCTCAAAAGCTTCAATCTGAACCAGATGAAAATACCTTCACTGGTCTGAGAAACTCAGACTAAGCCAGACTGGGGATTCCTTCTTCAGCTGGGCCACCAGAAATCCACAGTACCATCATCAGGGGATTTAGGCCTTCTGCCTTTCACCCCTTCTGCTAGGCACAAACTTGCAGCCGGCAAGGACAACTTACCAAATGAATTCCTGTATAAGCCATTCCCTAAACTGCTTCTTGGAACAACCTCCTTTTCAAGTTAGAACCAACTGTCTCCTCTACTCTGCACCAAGCCAGTCAGTCTCCTTCTCATTTAACTCGGTACTTTCAATTTTGACCATTCCCCAAGAGGAAGATGATGTCTGCATCAGCCTTAAATAGATAACCACAATCCTGAAATTCTGAAAATTGTCCTCTCAGAGGTATAAGCCAAGGACTCAACTATGGGCTTGGCCATCAAACATGCCACTTCACCACACACCTTCCCCACTGCTGTCAGATGTCATAGGAAACACAAACAGGCAACCAATCACACATCAGCTTGGGACTTTGAAAGACTGTTAATCATCTTGGAGTGCTCCTCCCAATAAAAGAAAGCCCAATGGGATTACTGTTCAGAGCAGGATCTTCATGCATCCGTTTTCATACTGTTACCTCCAGAATCCACCTGGTTTACATGTCTAGATTTAAAAGAATCCTTCAAGCTTGAAGGTTCTCTTTCCTTTTCTGTAATACAAATGATTAGGACCAGTTTTGAGTTAGCTGACTTCGAAAACAACAAAGAAGTTCTGATGCTTCATCTGACTACAACAGACCATCAACCATACATGGAGAAAGGAAAAGCTAGTCACAGCAGATGGCAGCATACTTAACATATACAACTGGATAAACAGAAAGTCTTCTTCGGCTACCAGCACGTAATTAACCACCTCATGACTAAATGACTCAACACCACATTCTCTGTTAGCCTTCATGATTCTTTGGGATGAACTTTGAACTCTTCTGTTCTTGCTCATGCCAAGTCACCACTAAGCAGGGTCAAGTGAAGAGACTGGAGCACAACATTTAGGGAGGTACTCACTGGGGACCCTTGAAACACAGCACTTAGGAGAATACAAATGCCTCTTTCAGCTTTGCACTTTGATGCGCCCCTTGCCAGCCCATGTCCTGACCCTGGGCTGGAGTTTTTATCAGGTATTCTCGGAAGACAGGAGCTAAGCTGGAATCATCAGGTTTGGTTGGACTGGACATCCAAGACAGATGGTTTGTTACAGGTCTGGCACTGTCACCATTCACTAGGCTGAAGCAACTGGGAGCTGTCCTCTAAATGGCAAACTCAGGCTTGCTATAGGTAAAGAAGCCTCAGGGAGGTCAGACTGCTTGCATGGGACCAGCTTTTCCAAAGCAAGCACTGCAAGAGGCTCCAGTACTGACTGGAAAGTACTAGGTGGTCTAGCACTGAATCCTCCAGATTGTCTGATTTTCACCAGATCTCACTGGCCAGTCACTAAAGCCTGCCCAAGATCTGGGGGAAGGGGATTGGCCTATTCCTCTTTGTCTGAGTAGAACTGCTACAAATAGGGGGAAAATTTGATACTGAACAATTTTGGAAAATGTCACAAAAAGGCAGCAAATAGTTTTGGAGCGAAGAAGCTAGAAGTACTTGTAGAGTAAACTGAGCTTAGGATTTTTTTTTTCAACCACTGTATGAATACATACAAATGTAAGCGGGAGAAAGACTGAGGATGAAAATGGCCCAGTGGGTGTTATAATTAAAACCAAAGCACTGCATGAAAACCCCTAAGGAGAAAACTTAGCAAAGGAGTAAGTGAAAAACAGGAGTGTTGATTTCCAAAAGCTAAATTGGATTTAAAAAATATGTCAAATGCTCCTGGAAAGTCAGATAAAATGGTAACTGAGATGTGGCAACTGGGTACAGCAAGATTTTGACCCAATTGGTCCTTGAGTACCCTGAGGAAAAACTAACCTCCCTCAGTGGACAGGCCCTCTGGCCGACAAAGCTAAGGCCACCAAGAGGCACAGAGCTCCCTCACCAAGGCAGGCAGCACCAGGAGATCCCTCAAATCCCACAGCGAGCTGTGTCATGGCCAAGGTGGGGCAAGTTATGTAGATAAACACACAAAAACCATTTCACCTGTGAAGTATGGTTCCCGAAGCAACGTGCTCCACTAGGAGCAGAGCATGCCCGGGGCACTGGTTAGAAATGCAGCTGCCTGGGTTTTACCCAGTCATAGATTCTCAGGGGCAAGGAATCTCAATTCTACCACAGGTTCCAGAGGATTCCATGCTAGCTATGTTTTCAGATCTGCTAGGCTGAAGGCACTCAACAAACATGGACTAGAGGGCCAGTGACTGTTTCCTTGGTTCCTCCTGGGCAATAACCACTCTGGCCTTCCACTTTACAAATGAAGGACTCCAGTAATAGCCTAGGGGAGAGTCCCTCAAGCCTTCCTGCCAGGATGGAGACAACTCCAACCACTCTTTCCTCAATGAAGTTAAAGGCTCCTATTAAATTTCAAGCATACACTGTTACTGTTTGTGTTCTGCCACTCAGGTCAGGGCGAGACTGTTCCCTCTCTCGGCCTGGCACGTGTAGGTGCCAAGAAGGCAGGAGCACCTCCTCATGCACCAAGAACCTCTGAGGGAGCGCAGCTCGCTCTGCCTCCGGGGAGGAGACTCGGCCTTGATTTTATGACAACTGGAGTTGATAGTGTCTCTGAGGAAACGGGAAAAAAGCGCCAGTTTTTGACAGGCGGTAGACACCGGGGCCACAGGCGGCCTTAAGGTCACTCGCGAGCTGCGCGCGCCCCCGACTGCGCGCAGAGCTGACGGTCCGGAGGTCTCCTTCCGCCGCTCGGACTGCAGCCGCGGGGCCTGACTCGTACTCCTGCGAGGGGAACGGGGAACGCCGTGAGTACTTTAATTACCGAGTCCCGCAGCACACTCCTGGTGTGTGCTGAGGAGATCCCCGTCCGTCTGCCGGCGACGGACGGTTCCTCCAGGTGGGCGCGCACGGTCGGGCTCCGAGTGCGTGTGCGCGCGCGTGTAAGCGGTAAACGTCCCCGCGCCTCCGCGGCCCACGAGTGCGCCGCAAGCTCCGAAAGTTCCACGTGCAATTTCACGGGCCGGCCCGCGCGCGCCTGTAGCACCCAGCAAACCTGGAAGGCGAGCTGACTTATGGCTTCCGTCGGAGGCGCGGATAAGGAAGGTCGGAGGGAAGAAACAGCGCTAACCCGCCTGAAGCACAAGAAGGAAAAACGGCACCGAAAGGCCGATGGCAGTGCGCGGCGCTGCGCGGCGCCCAGGCCCGGCCTGCGCGCCCTTAAGAGTGGGCGGAGCCGCCCGCCCTGGCTTGGGCGCCGCCCCGCCCCCGCCCCGCCGCGCTGAAAAAAAGTTTCAACAACAACAAGCGGGACCAATCGCGGCCCGGAGCCACGGAGGGGCCGAGCCTGGGCGGCTTGCTAGCGGAGAAAGGGAGCGGGCTCGGAGCGCGGGCCAGGCGCGGCGGCCGGAGCGCGGCGTCGCCGCTGTTTTTGTTTGTTTGCCTTTCCATGCATGCATAATGAGGGGGCGCCGCGGCTCCGCGCGGGGGCTCCCGGCCCGCTTTTGTATTTAAAGCCTCGCCGCGAGCGAGTCCGCAGCCCAGCTCAGCCGATCTGCTCCTGGCCTTTGGTGCCCAAGCAGCCGCCGCGAGGAGCAGGGACCGCTGGCCGGTCTCGCCGCGCCTTGTTCTCCGCGCCCTGGACGCAGCTTCCCGAGTTCGGCGAGGCCGGCGAGGGGGAGGGGACGCGGCCGGGCCGGGCCGGAGGGCGGGCGGCGGCGGGCGCAGGCAGGGAAGCAGCGCGATGCGAGAGCCGGCGGCGGCGGCGGCGCGGCACTGAGCCCGGGAGAAGGAGCTGCCGCGGCCGCCCTGCGGATCTGCAGCGCCAAGCAAAATGCATCCGCGGCGCAGCGCGCTCCTGCAGTCCTGCCGCAGCCCGGCGACCCGCAGCCCCCCGAGGCGGCAGTGAGCGCCTCCCGCCACCGCCCGGGGCCGAGCAGGGACGTGCACTTCCAGGAAGCCGCGGCGCTCGAGGGGAGCCCACTTCAGCCAGCAGCGGGACAGCGGCCAGCGGCGCGCATGGATTTATGAAGACGCTCATGCAAGGAGGGGGCAGGACTCGGGCAAACTTTTCAGCCGGCTCCGCGTCCGCCGCTCCCCGCGCCTCCGCTCCTCTCCGCGCCGCGCCCGGCGGCCACCGCTGCCCGCGATGGTGGCCGCGCTGCTGGGCGGCGGCGGCGGGGCCCGCGGTGGGACCGTGCCGGGCGCCTGGCTGTGCGTGATGGTGCTGCTGCAGCTGCTGGGTTCGGCGCCGCGGGGCTCCGGGTTGGCGCACGGCCGCCGCCTCATCTGCTGGCAGGCGCTGCTGCAGTGCCAGGGGGAGCCGGAGTGCAGCTACGCCTACAGCCAGTACGCTGAAGCGTGCGCGCCGGTGCTGGCGCAGCGCGGTGGGGGCGACGCTCCGGGGGCCGCCTCCGCCGCCTTCCCGTCGCGCTGGCGCTGCCCCAGCCACTGCATCGCGGCGCTCATTCAGCTCAACCACACGCGGCGCGGGCCCGCGCTGGAGGACTGTGACTGCGCGCAGGACGAGAACTGCAAGTCCACCAAGCGCGCCATCGAGCCCTGCCTGCCCCGGACGAGCGGCGGCGGCGCGGGCGGCCCGGGCGCGGGCGGGGTCATGGGCTGCACCGAGGCTCGGCGGCGCTGCGACCGCGACAGCCGCTGCAACCTGGCGCTCGGCCGCTACCTGACCTACTGCGGCAAGCTCTTCAATGGGCTGCGCTGTACCGACGAGTGTCGCGCGGTCATCGAGGACATGCTGGCCGTTCCCAAGGCGGCGCTACTCAACGACTGCGTGTGCGACGGCCTCGAGCGGCCCATCTGCGAATCAGTCAAGGAAAACATGGCCCGCCTGTGCTTCGGCGCCGAGCTGGGTACCGGCCCAGGCAGCAGCGGCTCGGACGGCGGCCTGGACGACTACTATGACGAGGAGTACGACGAAGAGCAGCAGCGCCCCGGGGCCACGGGCGCCGAGCAGCCTCTGGACGATGAAGGCGGCGGCTCGCGCCCGGGCGGCGGCGCTGCGGGACCGGGCGGCCGTGGGGACCTGCCCTCCGGGCCTGGGCGCAGGAGCAACAGCCGCGGCCACCGCGCGGCGCCCCGGGGCGCTGGGGCCGCGCTCGGCTCCATCTTGGTGCTGCTGCTCCGGCCGCTCCTCTAGTCGTGCCTGCGCCGGGCACCTGCGGCCGGCCGGCCGGGGACCCTCCAGGGCGACTCGGCCTGGCCAGGGTCCTTACTGCCTGCACTCTGCCCATCTCCTCTCCAAACTCGAGGTCTTGACCCTCCTTCCACCCCCGTCCTGGCTCCAGAAACAGCACAGGGCTCTGGCTGCGGAAGCCAAGCCTGGAGTTACGGACACCCTGCAGGAAACGGCGCGGAAGACTGGACCGAGTCTGCAAAGTGCTGGCCTTGGGTCTAAGTTCCGAGGGACTGCGCTGAGGGATGAAGAACACGAAGGGGCCGGGTATTAGCGTTTTTCTTGTGAGGGGGTAAAGTAGTACTTGTGGATAGTGAGGACAGCACAATCGTAAGTAAAAAGTCACGGATTCATTGATTACTGGGTGTCAGCGCCCAGAGTGTTCGGTGAGGAGTGGTGGGAGGTGGCGATTGCCTGGGAGGGACTCCTAAATTAGTTTCTGATAACTCAGAGCCCTTGACCTTAAATTTCATTGCTACTATTTTGATCATTTAGCGCATTTCTTAGGGTTAAGAGTCTAAAAATGCTGATCTGAAGAATTACTAGGGCATTGAACAATGCCGCTTTTTATTTAAAAAGCTCTGCACTGCCATCTGTGAAAGGCTCTTTATGGTGTTTGCGTTGCTGTCAGTTTTTTCTTTACATCAAGAAATCGTATGTTCAGGCATGCGGAGAACATATATTGTATCTGCCCCTATCAGGGTGCTAAACCTTGGTACATCTTATATAAAGTGTATTAAGACTGGAGTTTGTTACCAGTTGCTGTACTTTGTATATATAATTTTTATAAATTGTATGCTTCAGAAATAATTTATTTTTAAGAAGAAATTAAAAGTTTTAAATCTACATCCATGTTAAATCTTTTATTCCCAGAAATGTATAGAATTCACTTGTCACCAGGGATCCAAATCCAGAATCCACTTGGAAGTGTGGTCTGTTGAGAACAGCCTTAAAATGTACAGTGTATTTTAATAGATTGGAAGTAACATTCTTATTTTCAAAAGAATTTATGGACATTGTAGAAATGTATAAATGCATTTCCAAACTGCCTTAAACATTGTATTTTTATAGACCTCATTTTTTAAAGTCCTATGATTTAAATAACTATGGCTTCGTGTATATTTTTGGTTTCATTAAAATGTGTACATCACTAAAGAGATTATAAACAATGAATATCGTGTAGTTCTTTCCAGAATTTAACTCAGGAACAGGTGAGGAGAGGTGTCCAAGGAATGCTGGCAATCTTCGAAACATCAGGGAGAATAAATGCAATATGAGACATGAAATGTGGGGATTTCTGCCTTTAATTTAGTGAATAGTTAGATGCCTGTAAATGAGGCAGCTAAAAAAGACATGTGACCAGCCTTCCTTGATTTTTTTTCAGTGTCTAGAGAATTCACAGAACTGTCCTCTGCATAATCTGAGGGTAGCCCAGGCATCACATACCCCCTCCCTTTCCTTGGGTACTGCCCACCCCCTCTAGGAAGCCCCTACCTCTAGGAGAAGTCCTAAGACTAGACCTTCTCAGGCAATCAAACATGCCAATAACATCTGTTACCAATAGAGCTTAGGAAACATACAAGACTCAATACTTCAAAGTCTTTTTCACACTTTGGGTGAAAAAGTACAAAATTTGTTGCAAAACATTCCCTAGAGCAAAAGTAAACACACTGGGAAGAGGAATAGTTACCAAAACTTGTAATATTTTGTGTAGAGTTGTTTAGCAGTGGGCTAAAGGCTGGGTTTCTGCCAGAGCTACTGATCTACACTCAAACGCCCTTAGATAAATAATTACACTCTTAAGCTGTGTCGAGTGCGGATACACTTGACCTTGTAAATAGAAATGTTTGCAGTAGGAATAAACTCCAGCATTGGAAAATCTTTTAAACATTAACACAAAAGAGAGCGCTCTGTCCTCTGGGGATTTGAGCCTGAACCTTGCCAAGCTAGGCACTTGCAAGGGGGGAAAAAGTTTATTTATCTTCTATTCCTGGTGTTTATTTAAAGCTTTTCATTTTAAACGCCATGATTGGAAGGCAAGTCAGGAGTTTTAAAGTCACCACAAATAAACTGTGTCTGAGGGGTCGACAGATTAGCAAGATGTGGTGTCTCTTTATGTGATATTAACATGTGCTGAGAAAACATAACCAGATTTTTCTGCTGCCTAAAGTAATTTACAAAGCTCTGCCCTTTCCAACTTCCACCCACTCCCACCCGCTATTGCTTGCTAGTCTTCTTTTTCCTCAAACTCACTCTTAACGGGCTTTATGGAGGAATTCCGGACACTCTTTGGTGCACCTGAAGCAGAGATTATATGTACACACATGTCTTCACAAAGTGTAAGATAGCTGTCCAGCGGGCGGAGCCTAAGAGAGCAGCGTGGGGTTGGAATCTTCAGTCACCTGAATGGTTGAGTAAACATATTGTTAAAACAAAGCTGAGCTCCTTGTTTCTTTGGGAAGTGAACAAAGAGTATTCCAAGAGACTTGTAAATGAAATCAGCTTTCTTTACAAAAAAAAAATGAGAGGAATTAGCAATGCTCCTGCATTTATCCTTAAATATATTTAAATCATCTCCATCTCATGTTATTTTAACACATTCTTGATGAAAAGTTAAGTCTTTGTCCCAGTAAAAGGCCCAGTTTTCCCCAGTAAGAAGTAAAAGGCATTAGCACTAGAAAAGGCCTGATAATTAACTGCTACAATAAACTCACAACTTGATTTTACAGGGTCCTGTCAAAAGCATCTGCCTGGAATAAATCAACACAGCCAGCTCTTGGGGAGAGAGGACAGGAGGCTTTATGCTTTCTTCCTTAAAGAAAGTGAACACTGATCTGTAGTCCATTTTGCGTAATTTAAACAATTATGCACCAGAGCCCAGAAGTCCCTGGCCTCCCTACAGATCTAGTGGGTTCCTGAACAGGTTGTTGAAATGTCAGGGCTCTTGCACTGCTGATTGTGGGGTTGTGTATTGCCATGTGCTTCTAGAGAGAAAGGATTTTTACAGATGTTGACATCTGTAATAGTTCACAGTCTCCAGGGAGCCCATTGGAATTCTGGACATTTGGCCTTCTCAAATGTCTCATGGCACATGCCTGGAACTACCATTAGTGAGAGAAAAGGTATCCAGCTTTCCTTGTGAACTCTCGCGAAGTGCTCCCCCCGCCACAGAAGTTTTCCAGAAGGGGAGAGGCCCCTTTCCCTTTCGGATTTCATGTAAACTCCTGTGTCCCCATAGCCTTTCCCATTTCCCCAGCTAGCAGGTTGGAATGCTCGGTGACAGTTTATTTGTCTTTGGAGGCACTTCAGTGACAAATGTTTAAGGGAGTGTGGGACAATGGCAGGGAACAAGGGGGCAGTTCATTGAGCTGACAGTGACCATACAGTAAATAGGAGGAGGTTTAGGCTTCACTGCCCACCCGAGCACACAGCAACGCTTTTGTATATGACCACAATGGACGTAGCATAAGGTCTCTGTTTATTTTTAACGATATATAGCAGTGTACAGGCCATGCACATACATAAACTGGAAAAGTGGCTCCAGGGAAGTAAATCCTGCTGAGCAGCAGGAGAACGCTGTCCTTGGGCGCTGCACACATCCACAAGGAAAGAAGCAGCTCCTGGCTCTGACTGTCATAACTTCACAGGGCCACACATCTGGATGTTACCACGGGTCTCCCACAGGGTCCGAGTAGAGGAATTCCCCACAGCACATGTCTGTACCCTGAGAATCAAGGGAAACCACACAGCATGGGGGTTGCTCTCCTTACCCCATGTTCGCATCTTCACCCCATACCACATTGTTATGTGGGCCTGAAGAAAGAAACCAAAGATTCCTGAACTTTCTAAAACATTAAGCCCTATTGGGAATCTCTCTACAGTACCTCCAAAAGTACTTTGGCTTTGCATTATGAGATTATCAAGTTTGCTTGGAAATTCTCTAGTATAACTTCAGTTTCTGCTTTCAGAGATGGAGAAAGAAAAGGGGAAATTACTTCTTTGACCTCTTACACCAAAGAACATCAGAAATGTTGTCCCTTGACCTGGTTTTCCCAGTTATTCAAGCAAAGTTGTTGGGAGCCTTGTGCTCCACATGCCTGGTGGCCAGAGCCCTTGGGGAGGGCCGAGCTCCTGTTTGTGAGTTAAGCTGGGCTTCACTGTACTGCATTTGAGAGACTGTCACTGGAGGACAGTGCAAAGTGCTCACCCTGGACTAATGCAAGGACAAAAGTAATGTGCCACTAGCAGAAATACCTTCTAAGGCATCCATTTAATCAGTTTCTTAAATAACAGAATGATCTACTACAAAATAGTGGACTGTATACACTATATTTTGGCACAAAGATGGTCATTCTCCCACTAGTAACCAGGGCTCTAAATAAATGATTTCAACAATGTTTTATTAAAGGACGACAAGAGCCCTCAAGCTGCATTAATCGGGGAGAAGTCGAGTGGCACTTTTGTTATGGAAATGTTAAGCACATAATAGCACAGCCAAACAATGTGCAGCCACTTCATTCTTTCAGCCTTGCTGACACCTCTTAAAGAGGAGCTGCAGGGAAGGATGTGGGAAAGATCTGCTTTCCTAGAAAGCTTTCAGCTCATATTTTGGAGGGCTACCTCCAAACCCTGTGTCACATGCATGTGACAGAAGCCAGAAGGCCTGCTGGGAGGGAGAAAGGCTTTCCACCTAGTATTTTAAAAGCACAGGTTCTTCTATAAAACCAAATCTACATTTCTTGATGTGGCATTTGCTGGAATAAATTTTGCTAACTAGGGTGAGTTCAGTTTTATAAAGCTGAGGATGACTCAGTTGGTCTCCATGGTGTTCAGGGTGCACCACAGGTAACTATGCTGTAAGTAGGAAGCATTCTAAACCTCCCAGCAGGTGAACACCCAGTGTCGCCCAGCATCACTTTGGTTCATAATAAAAAAATATATAAAATGATCACATACATTTCCAGGCCTTACAACACCTTTGCTTTCTCTGTGTGTATCCTTACAAGCATATTTGATTGCTGTAAGTTAATAGGAAGATTCTTGGACCCCAGAAAGGTGTCTTACAACTAAGCCACACTGTATATTTTATTCCTGATCAGATAGTACTACACACCAAAATAATGAACATATCTATCAGATTTCAGGCCTTTCTTGAGGGCAATTCTTTTCTGAAAGTGCCTGTCTTCAACTTTCAGTTTTAACCCATATCACTCCTTACCTGTCAAGTAGCTCCACCTGTTTGTGGTATTTTTCTATAACAAGCACTGAAGTCAGCTTTGTGCTGGCTAAAATTTAGGTCTGTACTCACGAGCAAGTGCTGGGGACATCAGAAGTTTCTGCAGGCATGCACTTTGGGGAGCACTACAGGCGGCAGTGCTCTTAGGGACGCGACAGTGCCATGTTCATACACAAGGTGCCACTCAGGTTGGGTACACAAACATAGAAACACAGAGAAGCAAGGACTGAAGAAAATGGCTCAGCCAACATCAGTTTAGCAAAGCCTCTTAGGGTGACGATGAAGGTGAGTCCAAGGTCAGGCGCAGGAGTTTGCCTCTGAGAGGAAGGTGAGGAGGAGCAACTGCCAAAGCAGCAGCTGGAGCAGCGTGGTGTGGCAGTGCTCTCCGCACGCACACCATGGCCAGAGTGTGACTGAGGACATAACAGGGCCCAGCTTGAGAGAAATGCTAATGCAGGGTCATGGAAACCTTGAAGGTCATGGCAGGGTATGGACTTTCCTCTGCACAGGGCAGAAGACAGGGAACATCTGAGGGTTCCCAGCCAAAAGATCCAGAAATACAGCATTTTGTGCAGAATGTGTGAAGGTTCTGGGAATGAAGACCAGAGATGCAACATTAGTAAGCAGGCCTCCACAGTGCCAGTAAAGAGGCCATGTGAGGAAGAAGACAGATTCAAGACCCTGCAATAGGTCAGACATTGGTGCAGGAGTGGGGAGATGCCAATAAGATTGCTGCTGGGATTTTGGCTCAGAAAACTGGTCAGTGAAACCACAGTTGGTCCTAGGAGAAGAAAGTTACATGGTAAGTGATGCTGGAGGACATTTCAGATATCTGGTCATGGTGCTCTGCAGGACACCGACTCTGAGCCTGATGCTCAGGCAGTAGTGGGCTGTACTCATCCTCACAGAGCTCGGGGAAGATGGGCAGAGGAGCAGT